GCAGACGTCGTTAATTTTAACCAGATATATATTATGTTTGTTTGCAGTTTCTTCCAATAGGAAATAATAGTAGTAATTATATTTGTATAATCGTCGAATAAATTTCTCGTGACCCGTATAATGCATTTAGTAAAGAACCAACCAGTATACGTCAGTATAAAAGTACATTCGTTTAACATAGTCACAACCAGACGCAAGCAAGCACTTTTGCGTATCTTTAGTGAGTATGAACGATCTGTAATGCGATCCCACGCCAAGAACACGTCAAGATAAGCCGAGCAAGATAGCCACGATAGAATGAAATCCTCTGCCTACGCTAACCAGAATAAAACAAAAACAGTGAAGCAAATATCAGCCATTGATACCATGACTCACACCAGTTTAAAGGTTGCATGGAACAGTTAATAAACCAAATTTAACAAACAGAGATAAGTCCAAGTCCAAGAAATGTGCTACAAATAGAATATTCGTACACTTCATCCTATCCCACTAGTCGCGGGCTTTGATGTTAGCTCCAGGGCAAAGCATAACTTGAGTGTTCCAATAACAAATCGGCAATCTTCACGTATTCATCATATTCCCCAATCTCAACCAACAAAGCAACGAGCCCGTTGTGCAATGGAAGAATGCTAAATTCAATCACCAAAGGTCCCGGGTTTGAATCTCGGGGGTTCTAACCCTATAGATTGGGTAGGACTGACTGGTGACGGCTAAGAAGCCAGTAATGGCCATTCCAGTCCCCTTGTGCTTGGTCTTATCCACTTCATACAATGTTGTGTTTAAGTACAGGTAGTGAAAGAGCTACCCCAGACCAACTACATACGTGGATGAGAAACATAGTTTTAAAAGGATAAGGCCAGTATATCCATTTATACCATAAATTTTATCAAGTACAATGTTTCATTTCTAAAGATGAAGTTCGGACCGGTACCTACAGACAGCTGTTTCACCCAGAACAACTCATCAGTGGAAAGGAAGACGCCGCAAACAACTACGCACGCGGCCACTATACCATCGGCAAGGAAATGATCGATCTAGTTTTGGATCGCATTCGAAAACTGGCCGATCAGTGTACCGGCATGCAGGGTTTCATCATTTTTCACTCCTTTGGCGGGGGCACCGGGTCAGGTTTCGCGTCACTGCTCATGGAACGTCTCAGCGTAGACTATGCCAAGAAGTCCAAACTGGAGTTTGCAATCTA